AGTAACGTAACGGAATACGTTACAGAATACATTTTGGGGCATGTATTCTGTAATCTGTAATGGAATACATTTTAAAAGTAACCTTCCCAACACTGTTGGTCAGTGTCAGGAATTGTGACTGGCTCAAGGGTACCCATTCTGAATATTTTAAAGAACAAATAAATTATTCTACCATATAAAAATAATAACTGTAATCTACGTATTATTGTTCTCCACTGCCTTTGTGTTAGTATGTTAGTGATGTCTAAATCCATAGAGCATCCTATAAAAACAGCAAATATTTCTAAAATCTCTAACATCTCTAACCACTGTTTGTCTTTGCAGATTAGAAAGTCCTTCCTATGAGGTGATGCAGCTCGACTTTGAGGTGGATAACGTGATTAACCTGGTGCCAACCCAGACTCTACACTGGAGCGTTGAATACCCAGCTGGCACACAGACAACTTCCAGGCAAACAGAGAAAGTTTCACACCTCTATATCAGCAGTGCCGACATACAGGGCATCGTACCACTGGCTGAGGTAAGGGATGATTTGATAGATGAGTACAGATATAGATATCTATGAGCATACATATTGACATGCCCAGCAGCACACACTTGTTACATTTGCTGGAATAGACTTAATTTTTCCGTCCATTTCCCTCCTCCTTCTAACCTTCTTGCCGACACCCCCAGCCACCTCCTTCCTCCAGGGTGATCAAAGCTGGAAAGGTCAACTTGTTTACCCCCTCCTGTTGCTACAAGCCTCCCGGTCTCTCTCTCTCTCACACACCTTCTTAGACAGACACACAGCAGGTTTTTTTCCTCACAGGTTTCAAAATAATAAGCAGCCTCACAAGCAGTCATGCAGATTGACAGGCTGACATAGAGTCACTCACACAGACCTTGTAAAAACAGTCATTGCCTGAAATTCACAGATGCCCTTACTTTCACTTCTCTATTGTATCCTGTAGGTGTCCTTCCTTGTAATAATCAAATACAAAGACTGCCCTTTATACATATGTAAATTGAGTTCAGTTCAGTTTTGTTTATATAATGCCAAATCACAACAACATTCACCTCAAGGCACTTTCTATTCTAAGGTGAAGACCCTACAATAATACAGAGGAAACTCTAAAGAAAAAAATGTAACAGTCCTCTATGAGCAAGCACATGGCGACAGTGGGAAGGAAAAACACCCCTTTAACAGGAAAAAATATCTGGCAGAACCAGCGTTAGGGAGGGACAGGCATCTGCCTGATGCCTTTATTGGTGTTTATTGGACTGGTGGTCCTCTGCCATGACCATTTGGAGTTGAGGGGAAAACCCTCCATGTTCCTAGACTTTAAAAAGCACTGACATTACCAACAAGGCTTCAGAACAAAACCAAAGGATTAAAAATAGGCATTTAGTTATTTATTATGCACTTGGAAAATGAGAGGAAATAATCTAATGCTAATAGCATATTGGCACTGTAAATTAGCTGTAGTGGGCAGCAGGCCATACTAGGCAGCAAATGTGAAAGATCATAGCAAATGTTACACAAATACTTTAATTAAACCCTTAATTAAACCTTTTATGGGGTCCAGTCAAAAACGGCCAAGCACTGTTCCATTCATCCATCTTCTTTTGCTTATTTGGCATATCTTTTGATATGCAAGCCTATCCCAGCTTGCATAGGGTGCGATGCAGGGTATTGCCTGGAGAGGTCGCCAGTTAATCTCAGGGCCAGCACTAATTCATGCATCCATCCATTTTATTTTGCTTATCCAAATCAGGGTCGCGAGCCTGTCCTAGCTGCTATGCAAGAGCCAGTGTGGGTCCAGCACTAATTCAAATTCTGTTAAATAATATGATATGTTTCATTTACATTTAATTATATTTTTTTTAACCTTTGTTTTTTTTTTTTGTTGCTTGCATTATTTATTTGAATCTTCGTTGAGTTCTTTGAGATTTATAAGTACAAGGAAATGAACAAAAATAGTTACAGTGTATAAAACTTACATATCTATTTGGTAAAGTAAAACAAATTTCACCTTAAATGAGTAAAATGATCATTTACTCTTTAGTACTGTAGATTTGGTGCATACAGAGAGAGACAGAGAGAAAGAAAAAAAATCATAAAGTTAAATTTAAAACTGTCTGCCTGCAACATTTCTATTAAGACAAAATATCCCTATTACAACATACACTGGAAAGCCCAAACAGCTCTGGCTAAAGCAACCAAGAACCCTTAGGCTAAAAAGCGAGGCGGGGAATGCTTTTCAAAATGCTCCTACTTCCATTACCACTGAGGTAGAGCTAATCTGCCCTGATAGCCCTCCTTCAAACAGCAAAGCCCTAGTGACAAAACCCAATTTTGTTCAGGTCTCTGCACCCCCTGTCTTTTTCACACACTGCAAAAAGCAAGCTTGAAACCATCATTTTGAATAGCAGGGCTGTTGGGATTTTGCTTTGCTCAGTGTGAATGGAACGTCAGGATGAGCTACAGCTTCTGACACGCTACACTTTATAACATAACCGAAGATTTTTTTTATCACTGTTATTATTAGAGTGATGGGTATTACTTATATTAAATTTACATTAAACATAAATGACATTACTACATGTTTTATTACAAAAAGAGAGATGAAGTACACCCGTCAATATTTCTACAAGTTACTGTGCATAATACGAGGCTTCCTTTTTGGGTTGGGTTTTTTTTGCCCCCGATTGTATCATAATAAATATATATAATTCATAATTCATTCATGTATATAATTCATATATAATTCAGCTTTTGTGAACATAAATTAGGTGTTGTGGGAATGAAAAGCAAAATAATTTTATGCCTTTATAAGGTGCTATTGGTGTATAACTGCAAAAGTTGGTCATTTTAGTGATTGCTGGGTTGTTGCTACGCAACATAATGATGGCATAATGACTGACATGGGTGTACAAATGTTTGGTTCAGTTCATTTAAAAAAACATGATTTGTATTTATAGCCATATTTTTTATGGTGATCCTATTTATTATTATTATTGTGAATATAAAAACTATACTGTATACTGCAGCAAAAAATGTAACTTTTTTTTTTAACTCTGATAAATAAATGCTTTAAATGACTAAAATTATTAGAGAATTCTGGGCTAAAATTTAGCAGCTATATTAAAAAAATCCTTGGAAGGTTATAAAACGGAACCACACAATTGTCTGGTGTTTAGTTAGGGTCATTTAATCTCAAATTAGCCAAATTAGCTCCGAACATTGAGCTCCTGAAAACAACCCATTCTTTTAAAAATGTTTGTACTACCAGTCTGCATGCCAAGGTTTTTGGTGCGTTTATACATCTGTGGTCGTGGACGTGATTGGAACGTCTGAATTTCTATGAGTTGGAGGGTGAGTGAGTACTTTTGGCAAGATAGTGTGTATTAAAATGGTTGTTAAATTCCAGCATTTAGCTCTTTGACATATTCATGTTTAAAAACTGCCTCAGATTTCAATGTGCAAAAAAGTGGACTGACCATTTTTGAACAATATATATCTTTGTTTTGATACATGAAACTAAAATTTGATAACTTTTAAACATAAAAATATTACGCAAATTGGAGATGGTCAAGTATACGGCCTGTTTTGATTTCAGACACAACAACCTGTTGTTGTGATTAGAAGTTATCAACATGACTAAGAATGATTATATGTAACTGAAGCAGTTTTCTAATTGCCTCCAGCATTACATGGATAAAAAAGTACATCTGTTGTCTCTGTCACTCCTAACTACTAGTTACCCACACAAAGAAATATATTTGTATCCACACATGGACACAGACATTTTTTCTTTCCCTCCCTCTAGCTCTCTTTCACCCCTCTCCTTAGGTAAAAGCATCAAAATGGCTGCTATTACGAGCCATTTGGGCCTCCAAATTTGTTTACCAGAACTCCTGACCAGGTCTTGATTGCTGGTTGGTTATTTAAGGTGACTTTCACTGAGAGGGGTCTTTGTGATAGATTACCAAGATGAAAGCTCCAACTTTTCTGGGTTTTCTTGAAGAGAAGGAATGATAAAAGAATAAAATTATGAGCTGCTAGGGAATCTTCAAAAAGAGCTGGATGAAAATGCTTTCACACTATCATCTATCCTTTTTCTATACAATTCCACATCTGGGAAACATGAAATCCTTCTCACAGCTGTTTAAACAGCCTAAAAGCTAAATATGACGTAACCTTTCATCACAAGCACTCTAGACTGACCTTAAAGCATAATTTCCTAGCCATCTGTTTGGTTGATTTAACTCCACTTTATCCATCTTCTACCAGCCTCCAAATCAAAAGTCAGCTTATCAACAGGTCTGATGTGATAGTGCAGTGTACTCTATTTTACAAGGCAGCAATGAAAAACAGAGCCCTGGCTGTCATTACCAAAGCCCTCTCCGACATTTTCCTCCTAATTCCATATATCCATTACGGTTCTGGTCTGTTGCCTGAGCTGGAAAGAAAGAGGTCCTCTTCAGGAAACGATGGATTATTAGGAGTAATTTATCTCCTGTAGGGGTGGAAAAATTGGTTTCATCTTTTACAGAGGAGAGGTGACTGGGGCAGAAACAGTTGTTAGGGAAAGAAGAGTGACAAAAGAGAGCTATATAGAAATAGAGTGGCAGAAATTAGCACCAAAAATTGGGATTCAATTTAAGACAGTTAGCATTTGTCTAGCAAAAGATTGGCATTGATTTCTGCCAACGGTTAGATCAAGAACAAAACACAGATTAATATTAACTAAGCAATTTACAATACCTTGTAACCCAATGCCAAAAAACGGGAACAAATCCAATTCCTGTCACTGACTTCTCAAACAAACCGTCCATCATAAAATTCACAGAGCATTTGCTGAATAGGAGCAAAGAGGACTTTGAATTTATTGCCTAAGGAGAACAGCGGGGTGGAGGAAAAGAACTGCAAAGAACCCTGAAAAATCTGAATAGTGAATATGCGAATTTCCTATTTTGAAAAGTGGGTTGTCATACTTGAATGGACCCACAGTGACGGCCAATGGTGCCCTTTATTTGTCCCAGACAGTCCTCTCAAATCTGACGGTGAAAATTTTTCTGAAGAATATGGGCAATAAACCCGTTAAAGCTTAGATTAGGATGTAGTAACACACACTGCGTTCACATTTTAAGACAGTCAATTCACCGCCTATTGCCTCATGTAAGTAACTTCGGCAATTGTGCTGTTTGCATTAAAACCATATGTTTTGTCCCACTATATGAATTTCAGACGATATTCACCATACAACCATACACGATGTCTGTATGTCATGACATGGGTTGTAAGAAAGGAGTTGTATCTGCTGTTTTATCTACAGTGTATTGGATGCATAACCTAATCGCTATAAATTAAAACATGGCACTGAAGACTTCAGTTATAAAATGTCCAAATGAAATAAGTCTTAAATACCTTTTTGAAGCTTTTTGAAGTGTAAGTCAACATAAGTCTTAGTTTCTGCACTTGTTTTTTTGAAGATCTCAGAGAAAACATATCTGAAATAGCTGCAAAGTTTGACT